CAGAAGTTTTAAATTGTAAATATTGAAACATGTTTGGATCATATCTATAAGAATCTGTAGCCGTCCTCCCGCAAACATTTTATCGGGTGTTTATATTCGCTGATGAAGCCACGCGTGTGTAAAAAAAAAACTGTGGCCAAAAAAAAACTGATGTGTATATCAGATATCACAAATAATGATGTTGTAATGTGGATGCAAACAACACAATTTTGACATGCTTTGGCAACCGCAGGGAGGGAGCCGCCACCTTTTTTTATAAAGCCAATAGGCATAAAAAAGGCGCGCCTGTTGGCGAATAATTGATCAACAAGCGCACCGCCACTTGGGGCCGCCCGAGCCGCTCCCCTCCATAAAAACTTTTGCCACCTCCCCTCGTGTTTTAGAGGGGTCGCGCGCCGAGGGCGATCAGCACCGCGACTCAGCGGCCACCACACTGCTGATAATTTGGATCCAAAATGGATGGAAATTGCAAAGGTGTCCCGCTGCTGCTCCGCGGGCCGCCGTCGTCGTGGCGACACTTTTTCCTCTTTGTCTGCATGTGGATAAAAGAGGCGTGGGGAGGCGACGGCGTGGAGATGCCTGCCGCGTCGGTGTTCCAATATTTGGCCAGCCTCCCCTCGCCTCGCCTGCCTCCGTGTTTTCGCCTTCGCCCTCAACTTTGGCGCGGGGTGTGCACTGCATGCACTGCATGCACGTGAAGGGACTTGCCGTCATGCCCAGAGGTAATGACCGGCCGGGTCGCCCTGCCTATCTCTTTCTTGTTTCTTTCCCCCGCAAAGAGAGAGAGAGAGAGAGAGAGAGAGAGAGAGAGAGAGAGAGAGAGAGAGAGAGAGAGAGAGAGAGAGAGCGGCGAAGCGCCGCCCCGGTCCGGCCGGGCGGCAACAACCCCGTTCTGGCGCACAATCTGCGTGACGCAAGCGACTCAAAGTTCACGTCTCGTTTCATTTCAAGGCGCTCTCCAGCGTCGATGAGTTGCACAGGAAGTATGAAAAATTTCCATGGTGCTCCTGGTCGAGGCGGTGAACACCGTTCTGGACGAGGAGGCCCCGCACGAGGTCCTCGGTGGTGATTTGCTGAGTCACGGGGGTCCTAATGGCAAAACCTCCGAGCACCAGCCGAAAGGACAGGCCGTGTCACGGGATTCAGACTGTATCGAAACGTAGAATCACCACGTGAGTGTGACAACATCATGGTCCTTCGATAAGCCCAAAATTTAAAGGGCGAGTCCGAGACTGTGGGGAGGCTGGGAGGCAGCCGGGCGGTCGGGCCGCCACACGCCAGCCACCCCGCGAAAAACACAATCGATCCTGCGTCCCCTCCCCCTCCCCTCTCCCCCCGGTTTTTATATGAAAAACCTTAAAACAGCCCCTATTGGCTGCGGGCTCCCCCCGCCGTCAAGTACACCATTGAATTCTCTCCCTCCAGTGCGCACCCTCCCTTCTCTTTCACAAAAAAAATATCACCCCTCTTTGCGCTGGCCGCGCTGCCCCGCGCTGCCCGCTCCGGCGATTTTTCCTCTTTTTCTCTATTTTTGGTGGCGGCCTCCCCTCGCGCGTTCCTCCCTTCTCTCCCCTTCCCCGCCCCTTCCCCTCCCCGGCACACGCGCCGGGCACGCTCCGTCCAGCGTCTCTCTCTGGCCGTGGCGAGCCGCGCCTGGAAAAAATCCTGCAGTTGCCGAATTGTTGAAGGCAAAATTTGTCTCTGTTTGAGTTCTTTTTAAATATTTTTTGCAGGGTGATGGAACGTGAAACTGAGGCAACAAACGCGTGACGGTCGGCCTGCGTACAACACCCCAATCAACATGGCCTCCCTCTCGCCCCTTCCCTCTCTCTCCCTCTCCCTCTCACTCGGGCCCCCATTGATATATTATCCGGTGGTCCAGCCCCTCCCCCTCCCTCCCCCTCCCTCCCCCGCGCTGCCCACGGGGGGCCTTCCCCTCGCGTCCATACACCCATTGATTTCCCAAATAAATCCGCCGCCTTCCTTCTCTCCGGCCTCGGCTCTCTCACTCTCGCTGCCTCCGTCGGCTACCTCGGCCGCTCACCGGTGGGGCCGCGCCCCGGGCCGTGGCCGTAGGGCGTAACGTAACTCTAACGTAGGGCGTACACCCCCGCACCTTGGCGGGCTTGAGGCTTGCCCCTCCAGGCCGCTGCCCTTGTTGTGCTCGGCCCAGCTCGGCCTGCTCGGCCTGCTCGGCGAGGTCGCGATGCGGGCGTCTCCATCGTCCCCACCCCCGCCACCGCGCACGGCCGAGGCCGTGATGGACGACGGCTTGTCGCGGCACTGCTGTGGCGGCCGCGGTCCGAAGCGTGTTCGTGTTCGGCCATCGGAGAAGTGTATCCTCCCTCGACGCAGGTGGGGGACGACGACGGCGACCCTCGGGGCGCGGGGCACGGGCACAACCCCGTCGAACCCACTTCAGCCTTTTTCTCGTCCGCCTCCGCGACATCTCGCAATTCCACGGTCACCAAGATAATCCCGTGTAGGGACGTGCTCTGTCTCTCTCGCACCCCCATGGCCCTCCCCATGAGTGCGAGAGAGACAGAGCGACGAGGCTGCCGTCGACCCCTGCAGGGCTTTGCCCGTGGCTGAGGCCCGTGACAAAGGCTTAGCGCTGCAAAGCTACAAATCGGACGGCACGCGATGCCGGTCGCCTCGCCCCCTGCAGCCTTTCTGCAGCCTGCACTGCAGCCCCACGGCCTGGACGGCCAGCTTTTTTACGAGCCGGCCCATTGAACGCGCTCACCTCGTACGCCGCGTCGTGTCTCCATTTGCAGCCCAGATTGATGCGATTCTCGAAGGGGCTTCGAAGCAAGCTTACAAACGACGCGTGTCCACGAGCGTGCGCCCCCCCCCCCCCCCCCCGCCTCCCCTGGAATGCCCCACCGATCCTCTGCGACAGAGTCCGGTCCTTTTTTCTGCCGTTGGTTGTGTTTTTGCGGAGCGCGGGATTCTCGGAAGTGAAAATATGAAGCGGCCATGGCTGATTCCGAACGTCTCCCTGTCTCTCTCGCACTCTAGGGGCGCCCCGGACGGGAGCGAGAGAGACAGCCTGACGCCCCACTGTGCGGCCGCCAAATAAATCGCGGCCAACTTTCCGAAGTGAGCGCTTCCTCCGCCACTGCAAGAGGGCCGCCGCGGCGGTGTCCGGGAGGCTGGGCCGGCTTCCGGGCCTCCGTGGTGTCCGGACGCTACTCAAATAGGAACACGACGCGCGGGGGGCACCGGGGCAGCACCGCGCACCTTTGGAGGTGGACATTTGTCCCACCGAGCCACCCGGCTGTATCTGCCGCGTCTCTTCCACACACAAAACCCCCCAGCCAACAATTGGGCCTCATATGAATCCCGGAGAAGCTGTTTTCTTTCTTTTTTTTTACACAGGGAGGATGCCCCGGCCACAATGCAGCCTGTGACTTCAACTTTTTCTGCGAAACGGATAGTTTAACCAGGGAGTATCTCGTGGAGATGGAGATAAAAAGATGACCCGGTGGAGCAGCTTTTTAAAAAGCAGCGCGCGCGTTCTTTTTAAATCGGCCAACAGGATGCTATCAATTACAAGGACAGTGTCGCGTGTCCTCTTTACGGCGTTCTATTTGTTCAAATCTCGTCTCGACTCGGCCGCAAGATGTAACGGCTACTGAAAAAAAGCATTTCTCTTTTTCCTTTACCTTTCTTTTCCAGCTATCAGAGACACACACATTTCCACATCTCCACATCAAACCCTAAAATACAGACCCTCCCACTCAAAAGTGAAAATCCACGAAAAAAATCCCCTCCTCCTTCTGTGCCACTCCCTGGCCCTGCGCGCGCTTTACCTGAGCACATTACTGCACCCACTGCACCCACGTACGACGCACCTTGATCATTTTTTTGCGGTCATGTTTTTCCAACCGGAGCTTGTTTTGTGTGGATTCCATCCCGATCGGTCTAATAAGCTCGCCGCCCTCCCTTCCCGGTTTCGGGACGCCTTCTCCTTCTTTATTTATTTTTTCACTTTTATTTCGACGCTTCGCCGACGCGTGAATAGCGGCTTACATCACTATAAACACGGCGGGCCGGGGAAAAAAGCTGACTTGCCACCCCTTTGTGGTGATGCAAGCCGATATGATCCGCGAGGGCTAAGCCGGGCCGGGTTGGCCCAACACGCAGCACGCTCTGGGGGTGGTGGGCGTGGCGGCGTGGCGGCCCGTCACCGGGTTGCCTTTTCCAGGTTTGCCTTACGGATTTGCACCGCCCTCCACCACTGCCTTCGGCTGCCTCGGCTTGGTGGCACTCCATCAAGGCCCAGAGGAAGGCCCCGACGACCGGAAGGGGTTTGCCCGGTGTCGCGAGTATTCCGGCTGACAAATAATCCTTCCCCGTGCAAAAAAAAAAAAATGAATAAAGGTCAAACAAGTACATTCAGAAGGCAAAGTTCCATAATCCTGACGCATTACATGGTGTCGCGATCGAATCACTGTCAAATCCACACACTTCGACCCTCGTTTCGATTCTGGTATAAAAATTCAAGCGGCTGGAGAGAGATCGATTCAATCCGTGATTCCAGGCAAAACTCAAGACTCTTGCCAAAAAAATGAATCATTTCTTTTTTCAAGTTTGTGCTAGTCATAGCCGTCCCGTTTTCACAATCCTGCATGCTTTTCGAGACCGAACCGTTGCTGCCCCCGCGGACAAAAACGGGTTCTGTCCCTTTTATTTCTTCCCCGTGAATTTTGAGTTGGAAAAGGCGTCGCCTGCAACCCTTTATGCCGCCCCTCATTGTCCCCCTGAAAGGACCCTGAAAGGAGCGTGAAATCCTCGCGAGGACACCGCTGCACCGTTACGGCGTCATTTGTTACTTTTTCCTGTGTGAGTGTGCGTTTTCAGACCTCCTTGATTTTGTGCGCCTGTTTCCTTTCCTTCCCGTTTTTGCGTGTCACTGTTGTTGAGAGAGTTACTGATGGTTCGCGCACTCGGCGGTCGAGTAGTTTCGGGGATGGAGGGAGAAAAACATCGGTGCGTAGGAGAATTAAATAGTTTTATTTCCAGTTAGAAATATAAATCTATTTGAGAAAAGTATGGTACAGCAGTATGATGACCTAGTACAAAAATAGATACTTCCAGTTAGGCCTGTCATGTCACACAACTCGCACACATCCTCTCTTTGGTCACAGTTTATTATTTCATCAAAAAAAGAACATTAAAAATAATCTAACGTACGTAACTGCGCCGATTTCCACAAAACGCAGGCAATATCAGGCCAGGGATCAACTCTACACAGACTTCGACGAGAACGACAACCCGAATTACGAAAACACTGTACAACTAGGACACAAAAAGACAAGACTCTTACACGCTAGGACCTTAATACTGTTTGGGCGCCTTTCACAGTGGCGCGAGACACGACGGGCACCAGCGAGGGAATTCCCTGCGAGTGGTGCTGATCAAGACTCTGTTACCCGTATTTCTCCGAAACGCTTTGCAAATTGCCTCTGCCCTTCGGCGAATAAATATGCTCTATCTTTTGACTAGAGTTGGATGGACCGCTCATTTTCCCCCCGATCGCACCTTCAGATTCATCAAAATAAAGTTAATAGATATTGACAGGTATTGGATCACACACAATGCCGTCTATAAAAAATTTCTTGTACAAATGAAATACTCTTAAAATTTTGGTTCATCATCAGACAGAAAAGCTAGGCACATGGCGACTCTCCCCCCCCCCTCCCCCTCCCTCTCTTTCCCTTTCCTATTCCCGGGCAAAACTAAAGTCGGCTATGAACACAGAGTCACCGCGACCACGGTCTTCTGTCGGATGATGACAGGCCAGGGCTGCCAGGGCGCGGCGCGGCTCTAGCTGTGGCTGGAGCGGGCGATGTGCAGGAAGAAGGCCACCTTGTCCGTGGTCTGCTGGCCGCACATGTTGCACTGGAACGGGTCCTGGTAGCCGTGGTACCCCATGTGCATGGTGTACATGACGATGTCCCCGAAGGCGATGTCGCAGTAGGTGCAGTTGTACTCCTCCTTGCCGGCCGCGCTGGCCGGGCTGGTCGGCGGGGACGCCGGCGGTGACCTCAGGGACAGGGCCTTGGGCTCGGGGCTGGAGGCGGGCACGCGCACGGGGGTGGGCGCGTTGGCGGCCACGTCCGCGCCGAGCCGGGGCAGCTTGACGGGCACCTCTGGCTCGGCCTCGTCGCCGGAGGACTGGTGCTGAAGCCGCAGGGCGATCCTCTCCAGCTTGAAGGCGCGGCCCTTGCGCCTGCTCTTGGTCTCGCGGACCTCCTCGGCGCCGTGGTTCGGGCCGTGGTTCGTGCCGTGGTTCAGGCCGGGGTGGAGGCTGGCGGTGGGCTCGGGCTTGCTCAGGTCCAGCGCGGCGGCAGTCTCCGGCGCGACGGACGGCGAGGCGGCCACGCGCGCGCCGGTGGGGCTGGACGGCGTCCTGGACGGCGACAGGGCGGGCGCGGGAGCGGCCGGAGGAGACGCCTGCCGCGACGGCAGCGCCATGGCGGGCTTCACCTCCTTCTCGTCCTGGTAGTAGTTGTTGTTGTTGGCCGAGAAGTACTGCATCCAGTTGCTCTCCGCGTGCACGAACACGTGCTGGGCCAGCACCTCGGCCTCGGGGGTGGAGAAGTCGCAGTAGTTGCAGCGGTGCAGCAGCGGGCTGCCTTGCCTGGGGGCGGTGGCGGCCGGCAGGTCCTGGGTCGCGGGGGCGGCGGGGGCGGCGCCGTACGTGAACAGGGGCGGCAGGCCGTAGGGGTTCTGGAACAGGCCGAACTGCTGCGGCGCTATCTGCAGCTGCTGCTGTTGTTGCTGTTGTTGTTGCTGCTGCTGGAACTGCTGCTGCTGCAGCGCGGCCTGCGCGGCCTGCGCGGCCTTGGACGTCTTGGTCTTGGGGCCGCGCCGGGTGCCGTACACGTCGATGATGGGCAGCGGGTTCGGGGTGCCGTCCGGGTTGAGCACCATGCTGGGCTGGTGGCCGTACTTGCGCAGGTGCAGCTTGAGGGAGTGGCAGTACTTGGTGGCGTAGGTGCAGTCGGCGCAGCGGTACTGGTACACGTTGGAGTGCGACTTGAGATGCGAGTTGAGCATGGACTTGTTGACGCACGAGTACGGGCACTTGTCGCACTTGAAGGGCTTGGAGTTGAAGTGGTTGCGCAGGTGGTACTCGAGGTGGTGCTTGTACTCCGTGACGAACGGGCACTTGGGGCAGCACAGCAGCTTCTCCTGCTTGATGTGTAGCTTGGTGTGCTCCCAGAAGTCCAGCTTGGTGACGGCGACGAACTCGCACTGCTTGCAGCGGAAGGTCTTGACCTTGCCCTGCGAGTTGACGCGTGGCGTGGACACGCCGTCGTCGTCGTGGTCGCCGTACTGGTCGTCGCAGGCCGTGGGGTCGGGGGACATCTGCGCCATCTGCGACGCCTGGAGGTCGTGCGCGTCCTGCAGGTGGGCGCGAAGGTCGTCGGCGGCGGTGGCCGCGAAGTCGCACAGCTGGCACTTGTAGTGCGCGCTGCCGGTGTGGTTGGCCGCCGCGTCACCGCCGTCCATGTTGGCGCGCTCCAGCGTGGCGCGCAGCCTCCGGAGGTGCTCCTCGGCGTCGTCCTCGGAGTTGGAGCACGACGACGACCGGCTGTTGTCGTCCACGGAGCCCGGTGTCCGCGGCACCTTGGCGGCGGCGGCCATCTCGCGGTGGGGGCTGGACGCGGGGGCGGCCACAGGGGTGGGGGCGGCCGCGGGGGCGGAGACGGCGCCGTGGCCGGGGTGCGGCGCCAGCGGCGTGCTGTGGACCGGCGTGGCCGCCACGTTGCCGGGGCTGGCGGGGCTGCCGGGGCTACCGCGGCGCGGGCTGAGGCCGCCCTGCTGGGGCAGGCCGGGCGTGGCGTGCTGGTAGCCGTGGTGGGCCTGCTGGCCGTGGTGGGTCGGGCCGGGCGGCGACCCCGCCGACGAGCTGGAGCTGGGCGACGTGTTGGCGCCCGACATGCCGGACATGAAGGACGAGCCGTGCGCCATGGACGACACGCCGCTGCTGTCCGCGTCGCGCTCGGAGGGCTCCTGCTTCTGCAACAACATCACGTCCTTAGTGATCATCATCGGGCGTCGCGGAGCCCGGAAGAAGAGCGGCGCTTCGACCGGTACTCGAACCCGCGGCCCGCGGACGTGAGCCAAATACTCACCACTTGAATGGGCGGGCACCCCCAGCTGCCGTGGTGGGGGGAGGTGCGCGGGGAGGTGGCGGGGGCCGTGCCCACCATCAGGCTGCCCTCGTAGCCCAGCAGGCTGGACAGCGGCCCGGACAGCGGCCCGGACATGCGCGCCATGGAGTTCATGGAGGGCACTGACACGCTCATGGCTGCAACCTGGCGGAGCAAAAGACGAAACTCGGTTAGCGCTTCTGAAAACGTGCGTCTCTCTCTGCTCTTCGGGTCGACGTGAAAGTTTACTTTCATCGGCGACCCCGGACAACAATGCGACAGACTTGTCGGCCAATCACCGCCAATCACCCACGGCCGTCCGAAACAAACGAGACAAGGACGCGAGCGAGGCTAAAAAGGATTTTGGCGAAGAATGCGGCGAGCCGGTGCACTGCAGTGCAGCCCCCCCCCCCTCTCCCCGGGCCAGTTCACTGCCAGTTCTCGGAAGCGCGTGGCAGCGCTCAAAAACATCATAATATAGGGTGGCAGAATTTATTGGCGAGCTGTCCGGTCTGTCCGTCCGGTAAGCAGACTAAGGAGCACGTCACCGCCGAGGGGAGGGGGAGGGGCGCGGCGAGGACGGACGGACGGACTGAGGGAGGTAAAGAGACACGGGGAAAATAGCAAATAAAAATCACTGGACACCGCCCGTCCGGTGCGCGTTGCTTGTCTGGGGATTTCCGAACTGCACCGCCAGCTCCGCAAGATACAGAGTACAGAACCGCGGGCGGAGCAGGTCGTCGGAGACGTGCAAGAGGGCGTTTCCTCGTACCGGAGCACAACAAATAGGGCCTTGGTGCGGTGGACGCCTGACAGGTCCGCAAGGCTCGCTCGTTTGGCCGAGCCCATGCATAATGGAGACGGGACGACGACTTGGGCCCCTCTCGGGCACGCCGCTCGCTGCTCGCGTCCCATTGGCGCACCGCACCGCGCTGGCGGGGGCTTCGGCCCTTCGGCCGCGGGGCGTCGCCATGCCAGGCCGCCCCGCCCGCGCCGCTCCACAGCGCCACGCATGCGCCATGCCGGCCGTGCCGGCCGCGGCGCCCACCCCTTCCCTCCCAGCCGCTCGCCGCGCTCGCCGCGACACTGCCGCGGAGCCTGCCTGCCGCGCGGCCCGCAGCGCCAGCAGCCGTCCCCGAGGAGGCGGAGCATGGCGTCGCGGACCTGTTGCTACGCGACGCGGCTGGCATGGCCGGGCATGGCGCAGCATGGCGACGCGGCGACGCCGAGAGGCCCGGCCATTCGGCCGACCGACAACAGGCGCGTCGCGGCGCCCGCGGAAGGAAAGGGGTTCGCGTTCGCGGCGCGAAAGCCCGCGCTATTTCACTCGACTTTCCCCCATGTCTCCACTTTATCGGGTTTCGAACCGAAGACGACTGAATGACGGCAGTGTGTCGCCAGGGAAGGACCGCGAAAGCCGAGTTCCCAAAAGAGCAACCCTGCACGGCGGCTGCTCTGCGAGAAACCGCGTCGCCTTACCGTTCAAATCACAGACGGGACTCCAAATCCTGGGCGGAACGGCCCAAATCCTTGACGGGCATGAGCAGCACAATCCACAAAGGCACTACGCCGCAACTCCGGCGGCGGTTCAAGGCACGGCACTAGAAAACACAGTCACTCCTCGATCACGGTCTCGTTGACTTCGCTTCGCTCCGATCGGCGGAGCGCGGAGCTTGCGGTCGTCTCGGGGCTGGTGCGCGACGTCCGCTCCGCGTCGTGGTCCAGGAGACACTGCTTCTGCTGCTCTCGGTCGGTCGGTCGCTCGCCGTCGCCCTCGCCCCTCGCCCGCCGTCAAGTTCTCCCTTCCTGCGTTGCGGGTCGATACCCCCTCCCCCTCCGCTCCCCCTCTGCCCCGTCGGAAAGGGCTCGCCGCGCTCGCCGCCCGCTCCGTGCGCACCGTACCGCCTCTTGAAAAATCATTTCTGGAAGGAGCGCGGTGGTGGGGGCGGCCCTGCGAGCCCGTGCCGCCTCGGAGGGCTCCGCGGGGGCGGGGCGGGCGGGGCGGGCGGCGGGGGTGGGGCGGGCGGGGCGGGCGGGGCGGACGAAAAAATACCGTCACCCCTTGCACAAAAATACGCGGACCGTGCGCCGCACTGCGCCGCAGCGTCGCCCTCGCAGCCCTCGCTTCGTTTTGGGGCTCATTTGCTCGTCGTGCTCCGCGACGCCCCGCCGGGGAGGGCGCTGGCCCAGGCGGGGCCAGGCGGGGCGCAGCGTTCCCTGGCCCCCATTTCCTGTGTCACTGCCTTCTAAGCAGTGCAGTGCCTTGCGTACTTCCAGACGCCAGATATGCGAGCCGCTCGGTGTTCCAGGTGCCGCGACGCGACACACATGACACCAAATTGGAGACGAGGTCGCCTCGTCGGCTTCCACTCACTTCACCCAATTTTCCCCGCAATTGGCCGCGCTCCGATCTCTCCCTGGCGCGCTTGCGCCCCCCGGCCCGACGCCCCGCCCCCACGGCCCCTCGCAAGACTCGAAGCCCCGCAGGACGCGAAAGGCTCTGCTTTGCATTGTTTTGACAAACGGGACCACGCTTACGACGTCCCCACTCGTTCCCCGAAACGCGCGGTGCATCAGGGCAGCAGGTACAGTGTACCAGCCACATGCGTCGCACAAAAGCCACCTGACCGGTCCAGATGTGCCTCGCTGCCTTTAGGTGCCTTTAGGGACGTCCTGTCACTTGTCTTGGCCGGCCGGACACACGACGCTTCCTTTGATATGGGGATGCGATGCGTTTGAAAGGCTGAGGACTAACAAGGTAACAAGACAGGCCGCTGCACGCCTGCTAAACGCCAAGTCCCATCATAACGCTGTCCGCGGCGATCCGCCGAATTCCAGGCGTGACGTAACATGTGCACGCCGCGCCCGGCCACGTCCCGCCACGCCCCCGCAGCCAGCAGGGCCGGCAGGGCCAGCAGCCCGCGGCCGCGAATCAATACTCGGGAAGAAGAGAACCGAGTAAAACGGGGAGGGGAGGAAGGAAAAAAGACTGGAAATAAATGCGAGCCGGCCGCCCCTATCCCGCCCCGCTCCGCCCCGCCCCGCCCCGCCCCGCTCCGCCCCGCCCTGGACCACCCCGCCCCGCCCCACCCCCGCTCGGGCCGCTGCGCCACGGGGTGGACAGGGCGAATTTCGCGAGTCGAGGGGAGAAAAAAGTAACAAGATCGATACTATCTGGCGGCTCTGCGCCTCTCTCCCTGTGCTCTCTCTCTTTCTCTCCCCGGCCGGCCGGCCCGCGCGCTCGCTCTGTTTTTACGATTCAAAAGGAAAGTTTTTCGGCCGGCCGGGCCGGACAGCGGAAATGTTTATTTTTACTCTCCTTGCCCCTCCGACGGCGAAAGGTTTGCGATAAGTGGACTGATAGGTACGTAGCTTGCAGTATATGTGCGCGCCTGGTGTTTGCCGGCCAGGCCTGTTCCTGTCCTTCTTCCTCTTCTCTTTCTCTCTCTTTCTCGCCCCTACTCCATGATAAGCCTATGCATTTACACCCCGTTTTTGCCGTCTCCGCGGCAGCGTCTTTTTTCCCCGACCCTTGTTTTCCCTGCTTCGAGTCGGATACACTATGTTCCTGGAGGAAAAACTGGGTGGGGCCTCGCTCACACACACCTTGCAGGCTGTTACTCCAGCGCGTATACACTGCTCCATCCCTTTATGCACGCCCGGTGCCGCGCGCACTTTTTGTTGGGACTGTAACGGTGCCTCCCTATTCGCTCCACTTCGGACAATGGACCGCCGAGTCGCATCTCGACGCGGAGTGGACGCGTTGCATACCCTTTTTCCAAAACATCATAACGGACCGGGGCGGCAGATTGTCGCTCTGTCTCTCTCGCCCTCATGGGGTGTCCCGTATGGGTGCGAGAGAGACCGAGCGACGAAAAGGCGGAGTCATCAACCTTCGCCGCGGCCTCTCTGTGTCTTGTATGGAGAGTGTAAATTACCGCTCGGTCGCAATGCAACCTGCGGACCTCGATGTGAAGAGAATGGACGAATAGACGGTGGTGTGTGCTGTGCACTCCGCGGGACGTGTGACAAGTACCCTACTTGATGGATTGCTCCAAGCACGCACTGCCTTGCGCTGCTTTCATGTGCGTGCTTCAGTCGTCCCTCGCAAATTTCCACGCATGCTCTCTGTGTTCGACAAACTTTGATTCTCTTTTCGTTTTCGAGAGAAATCACCTTGGCCGTGTGTGCTAGCAATGCTCGAATGAACCGGACGGCCCCTCCACCAGCACGGCCCTCTTCTCGTCCGCGAGGATGACGCTCACGACGGAAACTTCCCCCCGCCGCTTCTTTCTCTTCCAGTGGCCGCCGGGCACCGCCGGGCACCGCCGGGCCGGCACTGCAAGGCACATCGTGGGCATCGCGCATCCCGGTGAAAGGGCGGACGGCAACAAGTCCCCACCCCTTTCCGAGAGTCCCT